ATTGTTTTAATTGGATTTTTATGTTGCCACCGCCAAAGCTTTTAACACAGGCATATTTTGTTATTTCATGGGGAATGTCTCTTAATTTGAATGTTCTGTCTTCATATATTGATGATTTTGCCTATTTATTTCTACTACTTTTCTGGTACTACAGTATTAAAATTCTTAGACTATTATCCAGCGGATCTAATTCACACTAGGAGATTTGTGCATGAATGAGCCTCCCTCCCTCTCTATTTTATAATGTTCTGTAAGCTCAATAAAAAAATAAATGCTCATGCAGGCTTGATACATTCCCTGCCACTAAATGGCACAGGAATTTCTCATGAGTGTCTCACTGCTCACAAGCATCTGAAGGGAGATACCTTTACTAAAACAACAGACAATCAGTAACAGTTTATCTGTCATTCACCTCATCCCTTGTCGCAGGCCACTTGATATCTCAGAATCAAGGAGCACTCCAAAGTTGTGTAGGTGTTCCTTCAGAGGGAGTGCAACCTCATCCAAAACAGGCTGTTTACCTAATTCCCAGAACCAGGAACTTCCTACCCACAGCTGGGTAGGACAACAGGACATTCTTTTTGGGGCGTGGGAGTACACAGAATTAGGCAAGAGATTATTTCAGGCCTTACATGTTATCATTTCAGAGAGAGAAATCAATGTCTACATCAGGAAAAGTATAATGTTTGCAATGTGCAGCAATATATGATGAGAACATGAATCAGGAAATGGTTTGCACCATGGTTAACTTAACGTGCATTTAGCTTTCCAAAAATCTATCTTTCTGCCCCAACTATAAGCACTGAATCGTTTAAAAGTACTTTTTCCTGACTAGTTCTAAAGATGGCTTTGTCTAATCCTACCAATTTATGTCTCCCAAGAATTTGTTAAACCTCAAAGTAATTGTGTCTCTGATGTCAAAGCAGAAGCTCATTCTAACAATTTGGCTGATGACCAAAGTGTGCTTCTTTCTTTCCAAAGCAGCAATCCTTGACATTTAACACAGCTACAATCCAACATGTCACTAAAGGCATAAATGAAGGATCATGTATATGAAATTTTATTTGCTAGGCAAGCAGAGAAACACATCCAGCATCAAAGGTATCTTTATATAAACCACCAAATTATTTTTCAACACAGGCTTTTCAACAGTACTTACCTATACATGCGAAAAACCTCACCACACATAACTTGAATACATGGTCTTTCAGCAAAATGGCGTATCCATAAGATTCAAAATATATAGAAGGGGGGAATAAAATGTCATATCTTCAACAATATATTCAATAATGTGCCTTATTTAAATGTGTCTAAATTAAGAAGGTATATTGGCAAGCAGAAATAACCTGCAGCACTATGAAATTCTGTAATCATTGCGTAACTGCATTGTATGGATGATAATCATAAGATTACAAATTTAATGAAGTTCTTAATGCTCCATAAGTGGAAATAAATTAGCCACTTAAAGGGCTAATTTGAAATAATACTTTCTCAAAAACTTTTTTCACTACTAATTGTCTTTGTATTAGAATGATTTTAACAGGCAAAGATTTGTTTGAATGTGTTATCAGTGTAGAACCAAAACGGTAAGATACTAGAGACTAAAAAGTATTGTATTTCCTCATCTGCAAATTCAGTTTTGAAGTATGTCAGTGAATTTTGTTTGCAAAAGATTTAAGCCAGCAAAGTCTTAAGTTTTAGCTCAGGATAATTATCTGTGGAAATATGTAAACAAATTATGTGTGAACATTTATAAACCAGATTTTTATTTCAAATACAGGTATGAACTCAAACGACAAAGATGCTAAAGTCTGTTTGCAACACTAGGCAAAGCCAATTTTGGGGGAAAACCTATAGTAGTTCTTAATGCTCAGTGAGAACTATGCCACCCCTAAGTCATGTTCCAAAAGAACTCAGCAGTGACAATGGCATGTAGCAAACGAGAAGAGACAAGCAGGCAATTAGAGCCATGCGTCCCAATCCACTCAGAAATATTATACAGAACAGTCATTTAATTTAATCTTCAAACAATTATTGGTAAATCCCCATTGTGCTTGCATCTTAATTCCTCAGCTACAAAGTCACAAAGTTGTGCTCAGCAGAGCAAAAAGGTGAACGAGGCTTTAACAAGTGAAAGCCAAGGGGCCATCTTACACAATGGTTTTATAAGCTAGCTAAGACATAGGACAGTACCTACAGGGAAGAACACTCTTCCCATGGTGACATTCCAACCTGCTAATTGAAATCACAAGCTTCTAAATTCGGGCCAACTCAAACAATAGTCAAATCCTTTGACCTGTGACTTTTGAGCATCAGGGATGCAGTCCTAAATAGCTGAAATCAAAGGCGCTTACTTCAGAGTAAAGGCTTCACAAAGCTGTGTTTTGCTGCCAAATTCAGTATGCGACAGAATGGGTAACACAGTTTCTAAAGAGCCAAAATAGCAATGAAGAATTCAGAGACACCTGCAGCTGCCTAAATCCTGAAGAAGAAAATGTTAAGGTGAAGAGTTCAATTAAGTACAATCACTAAACATAAGAAAATAAAGAAAATCAGACCATTGTGGTTAAGACTCAATGAGGGATGGGTAGAAGAAGACATTTCCGCCTGAAAAAAAAAGTTTATGGTTCTAGATGTTGCATCTCAAAGTTTGTTAAACTCGCCACCTTGAGTTTAGCATGAAAAGAAAGAAGGCAAAAAAGCAGTCTGGTCTCCAAAGATCCCAGCACAAGCCAAAATCTCTTAGAAAAACTCAGAGCTAAGCAAAACTAAAATTAGGCAAATAAAAAATTCACTTCGGGTCCAGTTTCTTTTTGGTTTCGCTACACCTGCCAGTTTTGCTGTCTTGATTTACCTTTTTCCATTCAGCCAACCTTTTCTCATGGCCATTCAATTCTGTATTGACAGACGATGTCAGGCGCGCAGTCCTGTGAAACAGGTGTTTCATTTTATTCCATTTGAATTTTAATGGTTTTTGAGGAGTGACGTGTTCTCACGCCTTAGCAGGGTGCAAGGAGCCCCAGGAAGGTGATTTGGAGCCACTTATGTGCCTACTTCATCCTGGTACATAATCTCAGCCTGATTAAAGTCTTGTCAGTTTTTCTGATCTCACGGTCCATCACAGGGTCACCAGGCACTCATGGTTGGAGGGAGTATCACACCTTGCACTTCCTTTGCACAGGAATACTACCTCAGCTTGACTGAAGCATTGCTAAGCCTTCCATATCCCATGAACCAGCAGAGTCCAGTCAAACAGAGACATTTCTGCTTTTGAAGCAGGCATCTGGGCCTGCTTAAACTCTGAGCCAGAGTCCTCTTGACCACAGTTTGCCTCCATTCCATTCCATTCCATTTCCCCATCCCCATTATTATAATTTTATTACTTATTGAATTTATGTACCACCTTATACCCAGGGGTCCCAGGGCAGTTCACAGAATAAAATCAAAATATAAAACCACAAAATACATAATAAGAATTAAAACAACAACCCAATAGCTGCCCCGCCCCCACACAAAAAGCACATTTTAAAAGGGCATAGGATGTAAATCAGATCAACCAAAGGCCTGGTTAAAAAGGAACATTTTTGCCTGGCACCTAAAGGTGTATAATGAAGGCGCCAGGCAAACTACCCTGGGGAGAGCATTCCACAGGCAGGGTGCCACTGCAGAGAAGGTCCGTTCTCGTGTTGCCACCCTCTGGATCTCTCGAGGAGGAGGCACACGAAGGATGTGGCATACATGCAGATTTGCTCCCCAAATGACCTAATTAACACTAACCACACACGCCTGAAAGCAAACTGAACTGAAATGCTTTCCTCCACTGGTCCTATTGCACTCTACTTGTTCGCATCCGACTGTCTTGAGAGACAATGGATGTGCCTCCAGGGTGAAGACAAGCCACTGCATTAGCAACACCCAAGTGACCTCCCTGGTGCGCAAGCCTGGGCAGTGTGTATGGAGGTCCGGGGCTGCCCAGATGATAAGATGCCCCCCACCCCCTTGGCCTTGCTGACGTGGTCCAAAGGAAAGCCGAGCAATACATTTGGCACCAGCTTGGCTGCAGACGTTGCTGGAAGGAGCCACATATTCACATGTCACCATAGGCAAACTGCAGCTCACCTAGGTAAAGGTAAAGGTACCCCTGCCCGTACGGGCCAGTCTTGACAGACTCTAGGGTTGTGCGCTCATCTCACTCTATAGGCCCGGAGCCAGCGCTGTCCGCAGACACTTCCGGGTCACGTGGCCAGCGTGACAAGCTGCATCTGGCGAGCCAGCGCAGCACACGGAACGCCGTTTACCTTCCCGCTGGTAAGCGGTCCCTATTTATCTACTTGCACCCAGGAGTGCTTTCGAACTGCTAGGTTGGCAGGCGCTGGGACCGAACGACAGGAGCGCACCCCGCCACGGGGATTCGAACCGCCGACCATGCGATCGGCAAGTCCTAGGCGCTGAGGTTTTACCCACAGAGCCACCCGCGTCCCGCAGCTCACCTAACACAACTGCAAATCTGGAGGCTTCTGGAGTGGAGTTCACAGCTGTTTTGCTCCTCCTCAGTCATTTTTACTGCTGTACAATGCTGAGCTTAAACCAAGGTTTGGCTTAGCGTGATGTCATGCTCTTTGTACAACACAAGAAGATTGGGGGGAATGGCCAAGAGAAGACATCACTTCCTTATGTTTCAATGTCTCGGGAAGAGGCAGCCACAGACGTTTCAGCACACGAGGTGAAATTCTCCTAGCCATGCCTGTGATGGAGAGAGGCACAAACCTCTATGGAGGAGGAGAAGCCTTCATCAAGCCCTTGCCGAGCCTTGGCAGCCCTCTGGGCCCGAGGGGTCAAAAGCTCCAGAAAGCCATTCACTGTAAAGAGAAGCACTTTCCAAACCTCCCTTCCCTGCCAGCTGCAAAGCCGGCTGCAGGATACCTTGCCTCTCGCCAGCTCTGTGAGATGGGAGGTACTGCACAGAGCTTTGCTGCTGGTCCCTCTCCACCCCTAATCCTCCCTTACCTGGGCTGCTTCTGTGGCAATAGTGAGGCAAATAGGGCGCTTGGGGGAGTACCACCTCTTCCATTTCTGCTGCCTGAGGCAGCTGCCTCACCCTGTGCCAGGGTGGACCAACTACAGCCTCAGGGGATTTAAAGGTACCGATCCAAAGTTTTGGCTTTGCTAGGGATGTGTGAATCTGCCAACTTCAGTTTCTCTTTTTTTTCAGTCTTAAATTCAGTTTCCTACATTCCCACATTGCTACATTGCTTATAACTAATGAAAAGTCATCAGCGTTTCTTTAATTATACACATTTCTATATGCAACTTAGCGATAGATAGATAGATAGATAGATAGATAGATAGATAGATAGATAAGGTAAAGGATCCCTGAATGGTTAAGTCCAGCCGAAGGTGAGTGGGGTGCGGCGCTCATCTCGCTTCAGGCCGAGGGAGCCGGCGTTTGTCCACAGACAGCTTTCTGGGTCATGTGGCCATTAGATATAGATATATAGCAAGCAATGTCCTCATATATAACAATTTTGTATGCTATTTTAACTAGTATAAACATACATGTACACCTTTCCCCTAGTATAGTCAATTTTGAACACATTTTTATTGGAGAACTGCCTCACAAAATTTCTCCTAGATGGCACAACCCTAAGGGGTAGCAGATAATCTACTAGGACCTCTCTCAATTCTGCTGAATCTGGCCTGTTTATTTTACTGTATAACAACCAACAAGGTAATGTCCTGCTTTTGGTGAAACAAGGCAAATAACAGAGCTTCATTTTCTCTAAGGCTGCATCTAAACAAACCTGAAATTAAAGTTGCTATCTTTAAGTTTGTGACAAAAATAGAGAGCCTTCTCAGCAAGAACTGCATCTGCTTGGCACAAAGCTTTCATCAAATGCTTAGGGAATCTTGGGAGAGAAGGTTTTATCTGCTTATGTCAGGAAATTTAAAACTTTCTATTTGCTATGTGAAAACCCTAAAATATCAATTAAATCTGATTTCCAGTTATTAACATAATTGTAGAGAAGCAGAGATTCAAGCTGCACTAGGCAATTTTTCTTTGCCTGCTCTCTCACAATGCAAGCTGAAGCATTTTTAATTCCAGAGGCAGCAGTTTACGGTACTCACAAATGCAAACAGTGTATACACGGCAGTTCAAAGTGGATTTGATGCACTGATGATTTGAAGATTTGAATATTTAATTTCTATACCATTTAATCTATTTTGAAAAATCTCTAAGCAGTATGCAAAAAACCGGAGCAACAACACACAACTTAAATAAAATATTACAGAAATACAGCTACATATGAAAACGTTATATTAATACAAAGTTTCATATATATGTACATCAATATCAATTCATTTTCCTTCTGACATATGCTCCCTCTCAGCTGCCGAGTTCTCACCCAGGTTCCAAACAAACTCAGCTCATCCACAAAAGTCTCACAACAAGAAGAATTCCTGGGAACAGCAGATATCACCCTAGTTTCTCACTCTGTTCTTGCCTTAATGGGCAGACCCAAGATGAATGGTAATTCCTCAGGCTGCCCACAAGCGGTGCCCCATCCAGCTGCACTCTCCACACCCAGTTCCAGGTACAGCAGGTTTCCTGATTTTCCCAGGGGCTCCAAAGGATGGAGAAATGGTCCCCCTCCACTCAGAGCTCTTTCGTCTCCCTCTGCCCTCGCCTCATCCTCCAGCTGCTTTTTCTTCCTTCTTCACCTGTCTTATCAAAATCTTGACTGCCACAGGCTCCAAATGAAGGAGTGAAGCAGAAGGCAACTCTAACACCCGCAGGAGGGAAGGAAAGTAGGTTTGCGTGATTGCCCTGATGAAAAGAAATGGAAAGATGAAAGAATCCAGAAAAGGGGAAGTCGTAAGAAAAAACTGAAGAGCAAGGAAAAAGACTTGCCAATTCTCACACTGGTTGCAACCCTCAAAAGTGTGTGTCTGTTTTTAATCACATTGCTGAGATGCCGGAGATTCCTGCCTCGCTCATCTGTACTCCTCTCTTCCCCCAATAGTGCTGAATGGGATTTTCCAGTTCCTACTACTGCAGGTGAGAGAGAAAGATGGAGAAAAAGACCCAGCAAAAACAGGCTGGAAAAGGTGCATCTCATCTGCAGTAGCATTGGAGGTGTGAAATACTAACAGCTACGTCTTCTCTTGTTTTATCTGAGCATTTTCATGCAAGAAGCTGACTCTTTTCTCTCCCTGCTTTAAAATCTCAGGACAGTGGCTGTCAACCATCTTAATCACTCTGCTTTTGTGCATTTCCATGCACTGCTCTGGTTTCGCCAGAAGTGGCTTAGTCATGCTGCCCACATGACCCAGAAAAACTGTCTGCGGACAAACGTCAGCTCCCTTGGCCAGTAAAGCGAGATGAACACCACACCCCCAGAGTTGTTCATGACTGGACTTCTGTCAGGGGTCCTTTACCTTTTTAACTGTGAGGTGAGACGTAAAGGAAGCCTTTCTCAGGATAAGGACAAAATTATTGAGAAAAACTTCAGCTGCTGAATCAGGGGTGGAGAGCAGGATCAAGACAGCTGAACCCTGACCACCCCCAACTCCCCCTTCCAATGGGGCGTTTTGACAGGTGGGTAGGGCCTCCACCTGTCAGTCATGACCCATAGAGCTGCCACCTTTTTTTTTACTCATCTTGCTCCTATGCTAAATACCTATGTTGATAGGCATTTGTGCTGCCTTTAAAGCACAGTGTGCTGCCTTTGAAGCACAGTATGTAGGCCAGTACAGTAGTACCTTGGGTTACAGACGCTTCAGGTTACAGACGCTTCAGGTTACAGACTACGCTAATCCAGAAATAGTGCTTCAGGTTAAGAACTTTGCTTCAGGATGAGAACAGAAATTGTGCTCTGGCGGCACGGTGGCAGCAGGAGGCCCCATTAGCTAAAGTGGTGCTTCAGGTTAAGAACAGTTTCAGGTTAAGAACGGACCTCCGGAACAAATTAAGTACTTAACCTGAGGTACCACTGTAAAAGGAAGCTGGAACTCTCTTTTTGGGGCTCACCTGAAGGTAATTATTCCATTCTCCAGGGTTTCCTAATCAATGTTGCTGGTATTTGAACATTCCAAGATCCAATGCAAAACACTTTGCACCACAGCTCCTTTTCAAGCAACCTAGAATAAACATTGTACTACCTGGGAACCCAAATCAAAGTAGTGTTTTGGGGGTTTTTTATGGTAGAGAGAATGGCAGGGAAGCAATGCAGCTGCACACTCTCTTAGTGCCTCAGGCCACTCCAAAGCACAGCCCCGTGTCCAGACAGGTGCTAAGGAGCGACCTTAATTAACCCTAATTAATATCATAATACAAGCACACGACGATATGACACTGCCTTATTATGAATCAATGCATTGATCCAACTGGCCCAGTATTGTCTTCTTTGCCTGGCACTTGAAAAGGGGGAATTGCTCCACAAAGGGGATGGAGCAACTCCCCTATGAGGAAAGGCTATGGCATTTGGGGCTTCTTTGTTTAGGGGAAAGGTGAGTAAGAGGTGAAGTGATAAAAGTATATATACAATTATGCATGGTGTAGAAAGAGGTTTCCACTCCACCTCACAAGGACATAAGAAGAGCCTGCAGGGTCAGGCCAATAGCCCATTGTGTCCAGCATCCTCTTCTCAGTGGCCAGCCCTGATGCCTACAGAAAACCCGGAAGCAGGATTTCAGCAAAAGAGCCCTCTCCTCTCCCGCAGTTTCCAGAAGCTGACATTCAGAAGCCGGCTCTTTCCGACAGCAGAGGTGGAACATAGCCACTGATAGCAGACTCATTTCAAACCATCTAAGTTGGCGGCCATCACTGCCTCTGGTGGGTATGAACTTCAAAGTTTAGTTATGTGCTGTGTGAAGTAGTACTTTCTATATTTGTTCAACTTCACTGGATGCCCGCAATTTCTCATGTTAGGAGACGGATAGGAAATAAATTCTCTACCCACTTTCTCCACAAGTGTGGAATGCAAGCAATGATGCCTCGAAACGTATATGCTCAAATGCCTGTCATACTGGTTCTGAAATCAATGGGAGAACTTGGAGTTAGACTGATGAATGTGAGAAAAGAGTCATATGTATAAGCAAACAAAAGCATACAATATATGCACGGTTCCCTTAAGGGGGAAAGTGCACTATATTCAGAGTTTTAAATGGCAGTGTGCTCTGAAAGTGTGTAAACATGAATTTCATTCCAGCTTATGATTACCTACAGTTCAATCTGAGTGCAGGCTAACACAGTAATCATCAAGCCCTATTCCCACCCCTTTTGTGTTTAAAAATGTACTGTTTCGTGCCACAGGTCTGGGCACTGTTCCCAGGAAATCTTTCCCCTGGTACACACTCTTCAGCAGCTCATTCATATTATGATATATGTAGCAAAGCTATTCCCCACTTTGCAAGATTCTGGAGTTTTTCAAATGTACTTTAGATTATCGTGAGACAAAGTTGTACATTTCAAAAAAAGGAATGAATTCCTACATTCCCCCGCCCCCGTGCTAGTTGCAGTTCTCATTAGATTACTGTGTAAAACTGCTATCAAATACTTTTGTTTCTTAGAAGTTATCTAAGAACCTGGAATGTGATAAGCCAGTGTTTCCATAATTCTGTTAAGGAACTACCCCCCCCCCAATTCAATTCATTCTTTAAAACAAAGTAAGTGAAAACTACACTGTGGTCTAAACCACAGAGCCTAGGGCTTGCCAATCAGAAGGTCGGCAGTTCAAGTCCCCGCGACGGGGTGAGCTCCCATTGCTCCTGCCAACCTAGCAGTTCGAAAGCATGTCAAAGTGCAAGTAGATAAATAGGTACCGCTCCAGTGGGAAGGTAAACAGCATTTCCGTGCGCTGCTCTGGTTCGCCAGAAGTGGCTTAGTCATGCTGGCCAAATGACCCGGAAGCTGTCTGCAGACAAACGCCTGCTCCCTCGGCCTATAGAGCGAGATGAGCGCCACAACCCCAGAGTCGTCTGAGACTGGACTTAACAGTCAGGGTTACCTTTACCTTTACAGCTGGTAAGAAACAGTGATTTAACCAGAAGTTCATAAAATTGACCCTGTAATTTGAGGAGAATGTTTCAGGAATGCCCCACCAACCTTTGTTTCACCAAATAATTTCACAGATTCATCATCAAGTTTAATTTGGAATGAGTCTCATTGGGCTCAGCAGGGCTTACTTTCATTGGACATGCATAGGATTGCATTGTTGATTTGAAAACAATTTTCACAAAAATGCAAATACAACCTAAAGCCAATAAAACTAGTGAGTAAAGAATATAGAAGCAAGCAACAAAACCTTGAACATGGCCTGGTGCTGACTGGCAAGCCCATGCTGTTCCCTCACTTCAGGTGTAATATGTGCACATCCAGATATTCCACTCAACAACCTGGTCACAATATTCAGCATTCATCCTTATCCTTCACATAGTGACTTGGGAGTAAGGTCAACTGAAATTAGCAGGGCTTTTTACCAAGGAAACTTAGTTTGCGGCCGCAGGACAAACTAGTGATATTGAAAAAGCAATACTCAGCCTCATATTGAATCCGGGTTGCTTAGATTAGGTTCTCTGGCATCAGCTGAGCAAAGGGAATTGCAGCCAGGTAGAAATCAAAGGTGGAGGGCCTTCTTAAGACTCATGATGAGCTAAATTTGTAATGTGTTATTTGCAAAAGAAATACAGAAAGGCATTTGAGGGTGCTGAACTGAGAGGTTATTGTACGCTATAAAAGCATTTCAGTATCATAACAGTAGCTCCACGCAAGGTCTGTAATTTGCTTAGCACAGTTGAACTGAATCAAACTAACATCACACCAAAGCCAGCATTTTTTGTTGCTTGCAGTAACCAAATTAATATTCCTGGGAAGTTTATAACAATTTGGGAATCTCATCACAATCTTCCATGGGTATGAAAAAGAAAGGTTCCCAAGTATTCCACAACTAAATATCAAACTATAAATGTTTTATAATTTAACAGGATTAGCTGTAACAGAAGGTTTGCTTTTCTGGTTTACTTTCAAATGTATCACAATCCTATTTAAATTTAAATTTTAATTCCATTCAGAATAAGTGGTAATATGTAAGGGTAAACCTTTATAGAGTGGTTATGAACTTAATTCGTTCTGGAGGTCCGTTCTTAAGCTGAAACCATTCTTATCCTGAGGTACCACTTTAGCTAATGGGGCCTCCCACTGCACATGCACCTCCAGTGCACAATTTCTGTTCACATCCTGAGGCAAAGTTCACAACCAGGAACAGCTACTTCCAGGTTAGCGGAGCTCGTTACCCGAAGCGTTCGTAACCAGAGGTACCACTGTACTTTCTTCCTTCTTCTATCCCTAATTTTTCAATTGTATTTGACTATTGCTTCTGGCTCTGTTTTTGTACCCTTCCCCCACCTCCCTTTAATAGACCTGAGATGTGTTGAACCTGTAAAAAAAGAAAAAGAAAAGTCAAGTAAAGCACTTTTACAAAGTAAAGTTTGCATCTTCACAAACAGAAATTTTGCAACTTCAGAAGTTCTTAAGAGTTCTACCCAGTTCTTACATCTATTGCTATAAACCTATGCAACTCTGCCCCCTTGTGTTTTGATAAATATATGCAAGAACAAATTTGTCGATGATACCGTATTTCTCAGAACCATGTCAGGGGTATGAGTTAAAATCACTCCTCCACACACATCCGCAGTCGTGATCCTGGGTCCTTCACAGAGGGGGCGAAGTGTGGGAAGAAACTAGATGCAGCAAATGCAATAATGTATCAAACATATTGTCTTGCTTGGCTTGCGCTCGCTTTCTTATACAGTGGTACCTCAGGTTAAGAACTTAATTCTGGAGGTCTGTTCTTAACCTGAAACTGTTCTTAACCTGAGGTACCACTTTAGCTAATGAGGCCTCCTGCTGCTGCTGCGCCGCTGCTGCATGATTTCTGTTCTCATCCTGAAGCAAAGTTCTTAACCTGAGGTAATATTTCTGGGTTAGCGGAGTCTGTAACCTGAAGCGTATGTAACCCGAGGTACCACTGTACAGTGGTACCCTGGCTGTTGAACGGAATCCGTTCTGGAAGTCCGTTCGACTTCCAAAAACATCCGACAACCAAGCCACAGCTTCTGATTGGCTGTAGGAGCTTCCTGCACGTAATTGGAAGCCGCGGAAGCCCTGTCAGACGTTCAGCTTCCAAAAAACGTTTGCAAACCGGAACCCTCACTTCCGGGTTCGCGGCGTTTGGGAGCCAAAACGTTCGAGTCGCAAGGCATTCAGGATCCAAGGTACAACTGTACAAACATCTATAAGAACCTAATCAAGAGAAAGATTGTCCTCCCCCCCCCCTTTGTTCTTAAACACACACACCCCACATCCCCAATTTCCTAGAAATCGTCTATCAAAGACGTAAACCTACTGACCAGAAGCCCACAGTCTGCAGCAGTTCCTGCAGGGCTGGTCTTGCCAGTAGGCAAAGTAAGATGACTGCTTTATGTAGCCACCTACCTGTGCCAGAGCAGCAGGGGCAGCCCCTCAGCCATTCCTCCTGAGCTCCCAGCTATCCCGCCATTGAACGACAGACAGGCGTGTGCCAGGCAGCGTGCCTTATATCTCTTAAGCTAACCTGCTGCCCTTGGGATGTTGTCCCATTACCACTCCTGAAGTAATACAGGGTGGGACACCTGCCATCTTACCCTTCGCCTCAGGCATCATGACAGCATCACCACCTGCACAAACACTTCCAAATGCATTTGACACCAAAACATTGTGTGCTTTGGCTGTCTCCTTTTTCTCCCATGTTCTTTCTGCATTACTTCTCAGTTCCACCACCCCCTTCTCTTGCACCTGCCCACACTAGCCGCCGTCCATGTCAAACGACTGATTTATTGATGTTATGTATGATATTCAATATCTCATAAGCTGAGGCACAGTACGATCATGTCTTACATGCATTTAACATGTGCAGTTTCAATTATACACAGTAGAAGGCCAGCTGGTTGAAATCCCACAAGTTAAATGTGGATCTGGCGCGTGCAGAGGGCCATTTTTTTGGGAAACAAGCTAGAGACCTTAAAAGAATTATGTTTTCATCAGGGGATTTGGGCACAAAAAGAGCTTTTAAGTTCTGTGCCTTGCTTACCAATGGGGTGAGTCCAACAGTTTGAATACACATTTTTTTAAGTATATGCACAACCCTTGGAACCAACCTCCTGTGTAAGATGAGATTGTACAGTATACTGGATCAGCCATTAAGCCAGCATCTGCAGTGGTTTTTTAATATTTCTATATATGTATGGAACTTTGCATCACAATAATATCTAAATACATATTTTGAACACATTTTCTTTTTAAAAAAAAAGGTATTCCTAAACATTTCCTTCTCTCAAAATGCACATTTCTAAACTGTTCTCTTTCAAAATACACATTTTAAAATGCATTTTGATACTTTTTTCAGCAATGAACTGCTGCACAAAATCCATAGATGCGCCAAAGCCAAAGAATGGCAACATTCTGATTTGCACAATGCTCCAGGTGATGCAGGTCCATTTGTACTTGAGTTTGCAAAAATGAAATTCTGCAAATATCCCTGGATCCAATATTGAAATAGTCTGTGGCATTTGCTCTCTGGTAGTTTTTTTTTGTGTGTGTGTGTGTGTGTGTGTGTGTGTGTGTGTACACACACACAGAGAGAGAGAGAGAGAGAGAGAGAGAGAGAGAGAGAGAGAACCATATCCATTCAGTATGTTGTAATAGGTCCAGCTGCTAGTGTAGTAAACTCAGTGCTTTTTTTCTGGGGGTATGCAGGGGTACACATACTCCTAAACATTTGGCCTCATTGAGGGGCAGTATTTCATTATGAGTAGGAAAATGAGAGTACCCCTAAACATTTTTTTTAAGGAAAAAAAAATCACTGAGTAAACTTATACAGAATTTGGAATTGTGACAGCTCTCGCTTTGAACAGCAGGTGGAGGTAAATAGCTAATCTGAAAAGGGAGATAAACCAGGGATTTACTACTACCATTGGTTTGCTCTGATGGAGGGGGCTGGGACAAGAAGTTGGTTAATCTCAAACACTTGTCAAGCATGACCCCATCTTGACTTGGGCTTGCTTGTGATATTTGGCTTGTTCTCCCTATGAGCAGTGTCCAAGCAGTTCATGTGCCCTTGCACGAACTGTGTGAATAAGGCACTGGTGGGAAAGGAGCAGGAGTTCAAGCACACCGTGGAGTGTTTGTTAAATGGACATAACTATGCGAATATGAGCTGGGAAAATTCTGGTTACAAATTTCCCTTGCACGATCCCACTGTAATTAAATGTGGCGCTGTCGGGAGGATGCAAATCTATGCTGCAAACACAGTTGGAATACTGAATACAGTTCTGTGTGCGGTGCCTCCAAAAGGAAGGGAAGGGCAACCAAAAGCTCTTAATTCTGTGAGAGGAGGTTTCAGCTAAAGAAAGAGGGTAGGACTCAAGAACCCCTCCCATGGTACCCTGGGTGAGCCCAATACATTTTGCTGCTTGAAACAGCCCTGATGACCACCCCACCCCCCTTCTGTACATAGAACACAGTGGCTGCTGAATATTCCTTCATTGCTGGCAATGGGACAGCCTCCTTCAATGCACCTGAGGATAGGAGGCTAGTTATGCAGGTGCAGAACAGACTGTGTGGCATGTACAGTTCAGTCTTCCAACAGAAGGATATAGCTAGGGGGCTCAGGAGGAACACATGCTGCCTCCTTATATATACCTAACAATAGAGCTTTCCCTGATAGTACAATATGTGGTTTTTTAAAAAATCATGTACAACTAGGATTTATCTTCTTTGGCATAGCTTTAGCAAGCGGCTCACCAGGGCCAGCCTATCACAGAATGGTGAATGGCTCTCCTAGTGACGGGTGAATCTTTCAGTTTCAGTTCCTATACATTTCTCATTTTTCCAACACTCACAAAAATTCATCAGCATTTTAATGCAAATTTCTCCTTCTATACACACATTTGTGTGTATTTTTTGCCTAACACACACATTTCTGCAAAGCAGTTTCCCCTTAATACAATGCCTTTTGTATGTTATTCTTACTAATATGTGCATTTTAATGCACACATTAAAATGCACATATGCATGTTGGCACAAGTTACATGGCTGGAGAGCCACATTGCAAAATTCAGTCCACATATTGTTTCAAAAAGTGTAAATAAATCAGATTTACCTTTAAAAATGAAATGAATCGAATTTGCCCCCAACCCTAATAGTACCCCAGGACAGCCAAGTTATTCTGGCATCTGAGGGAGAAAACCTTGGAAGTAATTGTCCCTTCCCCAGGGAGTAAAAATAACCCCACAATAAATAATAATAAATTAAACAATGCACCATTTGCTGCCATTTCATGCCACCCAAAATCAACTGCCTAAGGCAGCTGCCTCAACCTACCTAATAGTAGGGCTAACACTGAGGCTCATATATACATCCCCTTACATTTTGATTTTTCTTACAGAAATGAAGAGAGATAGCTATCCTGAGGCCAACAGCTATAACACTGGGGAAGGCCTTAAGCAGTTCTGCTAAATAAATATTATCTTGATCAACAGTTGTTAGCTGACTTTTTTTTTTAATGAATCAATGAGGAGCTAATCTGTACCTCAGATCACAACATGGGGAGCCAGACTGACATTTGAATGTAACCAGTTTTGTACTACATTCAGGAAAGGAGAAATAATCAGTGTGCCATTTGAGGGGTGTTAACACAATGACGGTGACTAATAGTAACCATGGAAATGAAAAGATAGCGGATGGAGCCCAGTGCACAAACCTCACTGGAGTCCTCAAAGAGCAGAAAATAGGAGCATGATTAATTTTGTACACATCAAAGCAAACTCTTGTCAGTGGCAATTATATGAAGGACAAAGAAAGCGAAGTCCATGGAGCCTTTTCGGTGGTCTAAGGTATTCAGGATATATTATCATTTCCCATTGCAAACAATGAAAATGCCTTTGATGTCAAGAACTGAGTGTGCACAGTGAAGATTTGCCTTGAATTTACAGCATGCAGAAGTCGTGAGGTAGAAACCACAAATTAGCTTTGAAATAGGATTGATGACAATGTGCATTAAAGGGGGAGGGAGAATAAATAACAGCATCAGTGGGTGAGAGTTCTTCCTTGGAATGGAAATCAGGAAACTAGTGGCCTACGCCAAATGACATCCCATGGGCGATGCATTGTTGAGAATTTAAGAGAAACAAAAACCTGGAAAGTCATCACTTGAGACGTGAGGTTGCTAACCAGGCATCTCATTACATATGACTGCAATCTACAGAGTGGCTTGTTAAAAGAAAGCACCAGGTTGGTTCATTTTGAGTCTTCTCATAATCAAATTGGCTCAGAAGTCTCCATTGTTTGAAAACATTAGCTGGCAAGACCTAACAAATCAGAACAGAATGTGTTTGCAGTTCCCAATAACATCTTCTGCCAATTTGGAAAATGGAGTGTCCCACTCTGTGTACCAGGGGTGGCTAATATTTTTTGGTTCAACTACTGGATTCGTTTTTGGGCAATCATCTGGGGTGGGAATGCCATACCAGTGAGGAGTGTGACCACCTCACTGTCTTGCATGGACCCCCACCACACACACATGCATACAGAACAAAGACACATGTGCAGGATTCACCCACCCACAGGGGACACAAAGACACGCAGCTGATCCATGCATTCACTGGGGAGGGGTTTATCATGCCCTTCCCATTCATCAAATGACTAGGGAAGGGCACTGGGCTGGGTGGAGCCTTTCTGAAATTCTTTTTCCACCACCAAAATCAGCAGGGATCTTGGGAGAGCCTGAACAATTTGCTTACAAGTCAGATTGTGCACTTGAGATACGGAGGGCAGCCATCCCTGCTTTCCACATGATCTAAATCCTGCACAATTGAGGTTCTGGGTCAGACAGAAGCCTTTGTGTGTACAGCTGTATGTTTGGAAGCACCATCCTTGCAGGCATGCTGGATAAACAGATGCCAGGAGAAGAGGCTAGTTGGTGTGACGGCCCCCATTCCTGTAGATGTTTTGGTGGTACCTAAAGATGCTAAAAGCAGCTGGTGTGCATGATGCTGGTGGCAGGGCTATGGAGTGTAGTCCCATTCTCACAGTGGGAAAGTGTGTGAGTGGCCTTCTGAATCGCATTTGTATCACTGCTCAAGTGGCCATGGAGAGTCCTGTTGTTGTACTGTAATAAGGTAAGGTAAAGGTACAACTCCCATCATCCCTAGCTAACAGGACCAGTGGTCAGGGATGATGGGAACTGTAGTCCCAAAACATCTGGAGGGCCGAGTTTGGGGGTGCCTGCCCAAGAGGCTCAGTGGTTTACCACAGCGCCACCTAGAGCCCAGACTCCCTCATTTTTGTTTGTTGTGCACCTGAGGATCCTCCATTCTAGAACCACCCTGTTCTTTTGCATTTCTTTGTTTTCTATGGCTGCCACTGGCCTCGGATTCCGGAAGCCAGAATGACTTTTTGGTAAACTGGGGTAAACTCAATCTAGCTGGCTTCTAATTTAGGTGTCGTTTTTGCACATTTGAACCATAGGTAATTCCAGAAGAGATCACTGTAGCCTTACTCTGCACCCCTGGCTGTGGGT